CAGCCACCACACATGGGACTTCTGACAGGGCCGAGCCTCAGGCCCGTGGCAGCCACCAGACCACGAAACTGAGGATGGTACAGGCCCCGTGGGTGGTTATCAGCGCTTTTGTGACTTTTGTTTGTAGTGTGGCTACGAAAATATCCAGGCTGGAATGTAGTTCAGTGGAAGAGTGCTTGGCTAGCATGCATAAGATTAATTCCATCACCTGTATCACCAAAGCATAGAACACTGAATCAGACGCATAGTCTGCATCCCAGTTAGGTGATGTGGAACACGGACAAGTCAACACTGTCCATAGTGGGCGACAGCCACACATTAACTAGAAAAGTTCATTCTGAGTTCTAAAGCCAAACCTGGGCAACAGGTTCCACATAAGCACACAGTACCGGATGCTTGAGGGAGCCTCTCCCTTTGGAGGAGACTTCTCAAGGCCATATGGAGGTCCCTGGAGAGCTGCTTACAGAAGCTGGCACCTGGCTCGCCCTACCCCCACCCTGCTCCCAGGCGTGGCCCAAGCTGAGATGACCCCAACACAGAAGACAGGAAGCAGATCCTAAAGGCTGCTGTTTACACAATCTCCTCTTCAAGGGAGCTGATCCTAGAAATGCGACTCATGGGCCGGAGAGCAGCTTAGGATGCCACAGCCCTGGGCTCTGTGGATACAGCCAACAGATAAGCCACATGCATGTGCAGGGCCCTGGATTCAGTCCATACCCTAGAGTGGGGTGAAGAGTAAAACATCCTACTACTGCTCAAGACGTTCCCTCGAGGAAATACAGCTCGCTGCTCAGGGTTATTTCTGCTCACCCCAGCAGCCCAGAGATTAAGAAGGGTTTGGACGAAGCTGTAACAGCAGTTCAGAACTGCTGACGCTTAAGGGCCAGACACTAGTCCTGTCTGTGTGTGAAGTCCTTACACCCACCCCACTCCACACCAGGGGCCACCAGTTACCTCTGTGCACAAACAGGTGAACCTCGGTCAGGATGTCATGCAGAGCCAAGCCCTTCAGAGTCTTCAGCTCCATGATGTCTGGGAGGAGCAGTTAGGGATGGACAGCTATTCCAGAACATGCTGCAGGGAGACTTCAGCCCCGGCCCTCACTGAGTGACTTCAAAGTGAGGCTTTTCACCCCAGCACAGACAGACACCTCTCCGCTTGGAGCTACACGCAGGCCTAATTCTAACTTGTCCCACTTCATCTTCAATAAGGCTTCTCTAAGAAGCACAGCTTTGTCTCCCAGAGTGCAGAGCAAATGGCTGCCTAGAAGACCACACCCGTTATCTGCAGCTTTCCATCTCAGCGCAGACGGAGAACCTCCTCTCAGCCTCTCTCAGGCCAGTGCCATCAGGAGGAGAAGGCATGTCAGATGCTGGCAGCAGTCACCAGAAAGGATACTTCTGTAGGCAGTGGTGAAGTCTTGATTCAGCATCCAGTCCAGAATGTTGGCAATGTCTGTCTTAAGGGGATGCCCGGTGCAGGTGTAGACGGTCTCTTCTGTCACCTTCCCAAAGGCCATATTGGTACTCTGCAGACAGGAGGACCCAGGGGCTGTGACACGGCACAGCCAAGGACAGCATGGACCCTGTACTGTCTGCAGAGAAGCCGCTCTCCGCTGCATTGTGCCAGTGCTGCTGCTTGCCGGAGTCAGTAGTCAGCATTCTCCCCCAGCGTCTCTCACAGCAGCTCCAAGTCTCCCTTAGGAGAACAACCAGGCAGACAACGGCACCCGACAAGGTGTGTCTTACTAGGTCTAGGCTTCTCAATGAATGTATGGATTGTCTGTCTGTCTGTCTGTCTTGTAAAGCTATTCAAAGCAATGGTTTAATATGCCTGGAGTAGGATCATACCTGCAGAATGTTTAAAGCCCTTCGCATATCGCCACTGGACAGAGTGACAAGAGCCTTCATTCCATCTTCACTTATATCAACACTAAAGGGAAACAGGAAAAGGAGTTATAAAGTCGTCCCCCTCCCAAAGAGCACAAACATCCTCAACCATGGGGAACAAAATGGCCTCAAATGATTAGAGCTTTTTTTTAAAAAAAAAACAAAAAAACAAAAAAAACAAAAAACCAGCAGAATGGCGGTGACAGCTCTTTCCTGACCTATGGCATCTAGAAGCCACCACAATGCTTAGGGACGTGTCATGTGAGTAGCCATGCCCCACCCAGAGTCTTAACTGTGAACTAAGGCCCTAAGGAAGCTGCTGCTATGAGCGACTTTCTCTGGAAAGAAGAGGCCACAGCTCTGCATCTGATTGCCCAGAATGAGTGTCTCAGAACCCCCCCTTCAGCCAGTAGGCAGTATCTCCAAAAAGGGACCCAGCAATAGTCAGTTCCCATGACAGAGGGAACAGCTTTCAGGAAAGCAGGTGAGGGGTCAAGAAAAATCAAAAGGGCTCATGAGGTAGAATATCCAGGGCCCACAGAAAATGACAGCAGCCAGTGGTCCCCAAGGCTTCCCCTTGGACTGAGCGCTCTGCCCAACTTGCCTCCATGCCACTCAATGCCCAAGACCCTCCCGCTTCCTTCTTATAAAGCAACTCACTTCTCCTCTTCTATGACATGCTCCAGGCGAGGAACCATGAGTTCTGGCGTCAGAGGGCCAAATCTGAACCTTGTGCACCTTGACTGCAAGGCAGGGATGATCTTGGACAGGTAGTTACAGATGAGGCAAAACCTGGTGTTCTCTGTGAACTTCTCGATCACTGGGAGACAACCAAACACCTCACATCAGCGTCCACTCTGACCGTTCAGAAGGGTTAACGACAGTAAGAGTGGGGACGCTAGCTGCCCGCAAGGGCAGAGGGTGATAAAGGGTGTTGAGCAACCTGTCCAGCTCAGCCACCTTCCTGTGTAGATCTCTGTAGTCCAGGCTGGCCTCAAACTCCAGGCAGTCCACCCGTTTCAGCCTTTGGAGTGCTGGGATTACTGGCATGAGTCACCACCCCCAGCTGCCACTATACTTTCAAAGCTAACAAACATATTAGAATGCACAAAATGCTTTTTATGATCTGCCACAATCCTAGCACTCGAGCCCAGTCTGTCCATGAGTCCCATCCCTTCGTGTAAGATGCTGTCTGATAGGCTGCCAAGGTCACCTTCTCGAGGCAGGGGGATGGCTCTGTGCATTCTTCACTGCAGTCATGCCTGGAATCTAGGAGCATCCAGGGAGCAACAGCCAGTGCTGAGAGATGCACAGGACACCAGTGTCCCCACAGAGATCTGCCCACACTGACAGTCACTTGGCAGAACAAGATGCTGAAGGAAGGAAGCCAGCACTCTAAGACCAGAAGCCATTCTGTTTGTGTCCCTCCTCTCTGCCATGGGCACTGCCGTCCTTCCCACCCAGGTGTCATCTCCACAGGCCCCCGAAGCTGCTCTTCTCCCAGCAGATTCCCTGGGAGTGTTAGTGGGAGCGGCTCACAGAAGGGCCTTTAACAGGACTGGCACCAGCCCCATTTCACAGAAAAATACGGCTCAGTCTACACTGTAGCCACTCCGACAGTCAGAGTCTTGCCTTCTGTTTGTTTTTTTCCCCAATGGTGGAGGGTCTGCCGGTAGATTAGGAAATGAAGCCTTATCCCCACTAAGTCTAGAACAGAAACCATCAGTAGAGGAGGACGAGATGACAGAGACTAGCCATACTC